GGAATAATTTCGACAAGGAGAAAAAAGAGTGAGATGGTTATGCGTAATCTGCCAGTGGGTGTTTCAATCATCAGATATATGCCAGAATACTAAAAACCTTGGGTTAGGGTAAGGAATGTTAGCTTGTTATACCTGAGATTCTCTGGTTTTTCTCCTTTTAATGCTACCTGACGCAGTTTGACCTATTCGTAACACAAACATTCGTGAGTGTGAACTGTTATCTAATCAAAGGTAAAGAAAAACATATTTGTATTGATGAAAAAATCAATTTTAAAGACATCAGGAAAAAAAAGAACTCTGATAACAATTTACGTCCAGATCATTTGAGATCAAAAATTGTGTGTGAGTGTGTGGGAGGAGGGAGTAATGACTATTAAGTGAATAGCTTTATAGTTATCACAAACCGCATATGGGTTCGTCCCCGATAAACACATAGGTTTATTAAATTCAACTTCTTCAAAACATACTGTTTGGACTAATGAAAATAAGAAAATCACACACCAAAAGCCATACAATATTATCACGAAATTGCTGGAAATAAAAAAAAAGACTAAAGATAGGGCAGGAATTAGTGTATATATTAGTCGTTAGGTAAAGCAATTTTTCCGTAACTGACCACTAAAGATGTGCAATTTTAAGGATTGGGTAAAAAGGAGCGATCCAAAAAGAGTAAAACTGGATTGACTGGTTAATCGCTACAAAGCTAAATTAAAAGGGGCAGAATGTTAGCGAGACGTTTCTGAGTAAGTTGAATCTGTAGACGAAAAGTCTTTTGTGTGAGCCACCATTAAAACATATGTAGTACATAATTCAAACCATTTAAGAATGACTATCATTTTATTTGTTCAAATAGAAATTAATTCTTGCGTAGTTCACATAAAAATTGTTGTAATTTACGTAAGAGAACTAATTAAAGCATACTATGTAACATGAAGTATACAAAAAATACATTAGTTTTGGTTACCTCGAGACAAGTAGAAAATATTTATGAATAAAGTCATATTTGATTTTTATTTCTGGATGTTAATGAAAGTCTGATAAAGACTCCTGTTACGTTCTATCCTTCTGCTGATTTGCAATGAATTTCTAAGGATAATGTTTCTTCTCCAAATCAGCAATGGAATCAGCACTTATTTCAGATAAGTGGGAGTATTCGAGAGAAAAAATGAATTTCTAAATGGTAGGTTCCACCAATCAGATATTTCCTATACTTACAATTGTTGTAAATAAAATAACCGTTAAGATACAAAAATGCATGTGGTTCTAGTGAATTTTCGGAGAGACAGAAAATAGTATCTTTAACTCATATTAAGCATATATATATATAATATTTCTACGGAAAAGAAATTCATATATGTTCCTAGGCAGAGAGGGCTGTGTTTTGACTTTTGCAATCAACCATGTTATTCTTGATAGCTGGTACTCCTACACGAAACGTTTGACAAAGTAATAGTACATGTGAAAATCTAATATTCTGGAAGCCTGGCTTGGCCCGGTGGTTAGAACACTGGTTCTCAAACTGTCGTTCACGAGGGTCCTCCAGGTGGTTCGCGGGTTGACCCAAAATGCAAGTCACATCAAAAGCAGCCAACTCTTTCTACTAATTCTGATGAGTTTTTCTTTTTTTTGCGACTTCAAGCGAAAGTGGGTGGGGTGGGACTGGTAGGTGGTGCGCGGGGTCTTTTGCCCCGCCGAAGCGGTCTGAGGACGAAAAAGTTACGGCACTCGACTTGCAATCTGCGATCGCGGGATCGAATCCCCTCACCGAATTCGCTTGCCTATTCAGCCATGGGGGGCGTCATAATGTGACAATCAAGCTCACTATTCATTGATAAAAGAGTAGCCCGACAATTGAAGTGGTTGGTATTGTCTAGCTGCCTTTCCTCTAGTTACCACTTCAAAAGTAGGGCAGACAAACTAGGGCTGACTAGCGTAAATAGCCCCGAGTAGCTTTGCACAAAATTCAACAAACAAACAAGACATTCTGGAGAGTGGAAACTTTAATGTTTTATGTTAGCAAAAATAGCTTCATAATATTAATAAACACATTCTTGTGAATTGTTTAAAACCTGTTTTTAATTTAATATCTTTTTGTGTGAAAGGTATTGTTTTACGCTATACGTAACTTACCTGTGTTATTGTATGTGGGCTTAATTTAGTCCATCTATTTGTATATTTCATTAAATTTTCAAATGTAGGAATTATCTCTTTCATCAAAAAGATTATGCAACATTTTAATTTGATAAAATGAAATATGTGCAGAGTGCTTGGAAATCAGGATAAATTTGTTGTTTAATATTTGGATCTGAAACATTGTCTGGTCCGCACCCCGTTAGTATAATGGATTTCTAGAAGCCATTGAACGTAAGTTCAAGGCTTCTGTCTCCGTTACACGAGCAATAATTTTCTTGAGATAATTCCTAGACATGCTATGTGTTAACAGCTCACAATAAGTGTTTTCCTAAAAGCAACTCACATACCACCCATATTTAATTCACAAGCATAAAACACCCTTACGATTGATAATTAGGCTAAGGGTTACATCTTTTCCTCTGTTGCATGACAAGATGGTTCCAAGTTTAACTTTAGGCGCCATTGTATTTGTAGGATCTATAAAGGTACAAGTTGTAAGATTTTCTTTTGATTCTGATGTTGAAATAAATCATTGGGACAGACATTTTTATATGTTAGAGATATAACACTGTTTGGTATGACCTTTCATATCAAAAGGTTACGTGCACTAGATGATCAACTATAAAGATTATTCAAAACCCCACACTTGTGACGATTTCATTACACGTGTTATTTGTAGTTCTAGATTGTGATTAATATATCTCATTTTCTTTAGATCGTATTATTTTATTCGTAAAACATTGATAGTTGATTCAGAAAGAATATTGAAATCAGTCTAATTGGCAATATAACAAGAACAGTTTTATTCTGACTTAGCTTATGGGACGGTAAATACGTAACATCATATTTTCAATTACAAACTGATAATTAATGTACTAATCGTCTTAATGTAAAAACACACACCCATACAACACAAATAACTACGTAACTCTGTGGTGTATGGTCAGCGGTGAGTGTAAGCACTTACAACGCTAAAATCCGTGGTTCAGTCCCTTGCAGTAGAGAGAGTGCACATAACCAGTAGTGTAGCTATGCACTAAGAAAACAAACAATAACTTTGGTGTATATATATATATATATATATACTAGTACAAAACGGATAAGGTTATACCTTTCTATCTTCACATATATTTGATCAATTGATCAGACAGAACCATGTAGCAATGGTTCTACTTTAACAATTTTTATGAAATTTCTCATACCATATTTCAATGATTTTAATATAATCGTTAATCAGGGACAACATCAGAACCCATTATAGGTGTTTTTAATATTATAATCTGGCTCCCCGGTGGTTGTAAGCCTGAGGGCTATAACGCTAAAAATCGGGTTTCGATCCCTGTGGTGGGCAAAGCACATACAGCCCATTGTGTAGCTCTGTAATTAGTAACAGAACAAAAGAACAATATAATAATCCACTCGAGATAATCACATAAATCTCTGTCAATGGGTTTCATATGAAAATGTATTATATATTATCTCATAATCCTGTATTCGTGGCTTTATTCATTAATAATAGCCTCATAACCACAGATTAAAGGTTTTAATGTAATAATTCATTAGAGATAACCTCATTACCATACATTAATGATTTTCATATATATATATATATATACATATATGTTTAGTAATACTTATACAATCACCCCCCCTAGTGGCACAGCGGAATGTCTGTGGACTTAAAACGCTAGAAACCGGGTTTCGATACCCGTGGTGGGTAGAGTACAGATAGCCTTTTGTGTAGCTTTGTGATTAACTTCAAACAGAATAAATTGTTAGCTGCTACCTCACCACAGCAATGATTAAAAAATATAGTCTGTTTCAAAGGTTATAAAGTGTCAGATTGGTTGGAAGTACACAAGTAAATCACATTAAGTGTTAGTCTACTTAGAAGGAAGTGTTCTCAAGCTTGACATTAGTATACTTGACAGAACAAAGTTGCTAGAATACACGAGACAAAAATGGATAAAGTATAAATAAAAATCCATTCTAACTTCATGCTTGTTCGGACGTTGAGATAATTGTTTTATGTACTTTGTTTTTCCACAACATAATTCTTACGTATATCTTAATATCATTGTTACTTCGTTAGTTTAATGTGGTCAGGTTTTTATTGGGATAAAAAAGGAAGTACTTGTACAAAAATAACAATGAAACTTCAAATTATAAAGGAATATTAAAATTTAGACATTCGGTAAAGAAGATTATTGAAATAACTAATTTATTTAGTTACTAAATTTTATGGAACAAAAGTCTAAAACCTGTGGAATTTTAGGCCTATAGTATAGCCAGCACCTTTAAACTCTTCTAAATGGAATATATATGATCCATTAAGATATTGTTAAAGTTTTCACCATTTTAACTAGGTTGTCTAGACTTCTGAGAAAAAGGTTTTACTTCATATTAGGGAAAGCAGATGCCGAAACAAGGATCTTTTTAAGTGGAATGTCCATAGAGAACTAAGCAACGATAAGTGACATATATGTTTAAAATATGTTCTTAAACAGGGTATAATAGTAACAGGTTTTAATAATTTTGATTGTATACCATACTAAACATTTAAGATATCATATTTGTTTATGTCGTTTGCTTAGTTAAGCAGGGTATTGTTACAATATATGATCAGTTTGAACCAAGTTCTCTTTACTCAGAACCTGACAAACAGCAACATGCCATTTCAAAGGGCTGTAAAACGAGTTTGATTCTTTCACAAATATCTGCTCTGTTACGTTGCAACGTTGTGTATGAAAATATGTACAGAGTGGTTTAAAATTTAGCTGCACCAGAAATATTTTTTATGTTTGTCGTTTTCAAGTTAATCTCTATAGTAGGTTCACACATTGTTATACATTTTTAGGTTCACACATTGTTATACATTCTTCTTTATTTTCACTCATAAGTTCTTAGAATATATATCTATATATGTGTGTGTGTGTGTATGTGTATCTGAACAGTACACAAGGGTGACACTCAGACTGACACATGACAAGTTTTGGGGTTGCAAATCAAATGTTTTTTAAACAGCACATATAATTATGGACAACTAATTTTAGACCATCCTGTGCAACAATTTAAGCATTAACTGAAATGAATAGACGATAACAAGGCATATGTGCGATCTCATTAATACCGACCTCATGTATTGTAGATACCCGTTACTGGTTGACCAGTGTGTATGTGTAAGATAATTAAAACCATATTCAATAAAGTGTTTTTGTTTTACATAATACACACTGTACTTCAACCCACTCACCTTACGTTGTAATTATTCGTATTAAGATAGATTAGGGAAGTAAAACACTCTCCTATTTCATAATAGTGATGTTTTTTTTAGATTGAATGTAATCAAACAAAAACAATGTATAGAACATGATTAAACATTGAATTCTGTTCAGGGTGGCAACTGTACTAAGAACTAATAATACGATAAACAAATTTAAACGTCTAGAACGTGTTCTAGATACAGTAACCAGTGATTGCACAAACTTTCGTTAAAAATTATTTTCTTTCCAATTGCCTCGTGTACACGGTTAATAGAATGAGTGATTCTATTGCATAAAGTTTCATACACACACGTATAAGCGGGTTAACAGAATGATGACTCTACTACACAAAAGTACATTACCCAATGTGCACCAGGTTAACAGATTGAGAGGTTCTACCATACAAAAGTTCATAGTCTCTTGAAATACGTATGAGTAGATAGGTTATTTAAATTTATTACATAAAGTATAACGCTATTCATGTTTCTTCAGCTAACATTAAACAAATTCTCGGTATTCAAACAGCTTAAACAATTACCATAACTATAGATGTCACTACAGCCAGAGAAAGAGGGAGAAAAAAGAAACGTTCTAAAGACGTTATGCTTGAAAAAATAGCCACAATAGGCAATGTGGTTTGATTGTATTTGGACGGACGTGTATAAATCAGTTTTTCAAATAATGCTTCGTCACTAAGAAATAATACAAAATGAGAAATATATTCTAGTATAAAGGACTACTCTTTTTATTTCTATTGTTTTTATATGTTACAAAGTGAAAGCCAACTTTCCTTCTTGTTAGACGTATGAATAAAGGTGTACTAGACAAACCACAAGGACTAATTTATTGCGTTAGGCTTAGAGATATTATGTACAAGACATAGCCTGCCATAATAAAGAACGGGCATATTTTTCTAATTACTAGTATAGATCTTGATTTATAATTATGAGGGAGGAGTAAAGTTTGAAAGCCTTGTAACATAAATTAATGGGGTTGTTGACATGTTTCCCGAGACAATAAATAATTTTGCCTTTTCTGTACATACACATACACACATGGCCTATGTCCACTGTAAATTTTGCACTGTTTTTTCAAGTATTTTTAATTCTGTTTCATTGTCTCTTCTTAACTTGCTAGACACTTTCATCCTATTTTATTCTTGATTCATTTCTAGGTGTTTTACAGAGGGATGCTCTAACTATTGCTCTATTTGTAAATATCGACTAATATCGACTGTTATATTGTCTAATGTTATTCGTCGTTGTTTTACTTTCAGTGCTTCTTTGCGATATTAAAAATCAGCGATGAACTACAGTGTTTTTATTAGAGCTAAATGGTTATATTTTGTAAGGTGTAGTATATCAACATTAATTAGTTTCGAAGTTATCATTTTAGCATATCCTATATAATAATTAATATCGAGATTTAATATATTATCCTGTTGTTAAGTGAAAACACAATTTCTTTTTTTTACATTTTTGCGGTAGACTATTTGCTAATGCAATATATAAATATGCAAGTCAAACTGTATTTTACCATAAAATACAACCAGCGCTCTTGCATAACATAACATTTACTTTTTTTTTATAAATCATGCCATTTGTCTCTAATTACTTCACAAGTGTCTTTTTTTTTTCGTTTTTTAGCACTTTTAGTATAGCTTGATTTAATTTATCTTTTGAATTCTGCCAATTAAAGAGGGTTTAATATTTGTTTTCTCCAAGGTCGAGAATTGGAAATGTTCTACAGGCAGTCGTCACAATCTATTTTTAGAAGTTTTTGCCACGTGACATTCTATAAATTCTTTTATCTCGTGACAAACTTTATATATCAAAGTTTTTAAAAAATCTTCTCACAAAAGTCTAGCTTTTAAGGCTTTCAATTTTAGATCGTTATCAGTGGATTTGAAAATATTAGTTCCTTATTTATCCTTGAGTTTATCATTTTCAGATGATGTATGTTTGTCTCTTTGTTTAAGCCCAAAACTACACAATGGGCTATTTACGCTTTGCCCACCGCAGGGATCGAATCCCAAGTTTAAACATTATAAGTCCTCGTATTTACCGCTGAGCTACTCTATGGCTTCAGGTCGATTAATAGTTCCGTTTTCATACTAATCCTTAATAGTAAAATCTCTATTAATTTTCTTGTTCAAATCGGATATGATGATGGCATATTCTTTCAAATATTGATAATTTCTAATATTGTTTGGGAGCCCAGAAATTAAACATTTATTCTCACAAAAAACTAATTTTTTTTTACGGTTTGCTTGATATTAAGTATAAAGCTACACAATGGGCTATCTATGCTCTGTTTATCACAGGTATTGAAATCCGGTTTTAGTATCGTGATCCTGCAGACTTACCGATGTGCCATTGGGGGCAAGATTTTTGTACGAACTAAAACCTAAATATTTAAAATCTATTCTAAACAATAACATTCAGAATCCTTGTAATTTTAAAACCTTGATATGGTATTAATTAAAAGTTTTGAAATGTTAACACTTTTCTTACCTCAAAAACAAGTGAAATAGTCTGAAGATAGACTGAAATGGACTTTGGATATGTCTTGAAATCTACCTTGATTTTTGTTTGTTTTGTTGTATCTAGATGATACTACAGAATAGCTAATTTTGAGGTCTAATATACCACCCTTTTCTTAAATTAGAACACAGTTTTTTTTCCATATTTCTTCTGCTAATATTTTTGGAGCTAATAACATTGTATGATAAAGATTTTCCTAAAGATTCAATTTCTAATTTAAAAACAACTATCTTCCCGTAAGCTTTTTTTTGAAATTTACAAATATGAGCATTTTCCCCACTCTTATTTTGAAATTTTGTCTCAGTAACCAATTGTTAGATCATGAGCACTCTTATACAAGGATGTAATTCCGTTTGCTGTTACATATTATTTTTACTTTATTTTAAGAATGATCTCCCTTTTGAAATATGAAATATATATAGACATGGGATATATGGGTGGCCAGCAGTTATTGTAGTTCACCCAATCTGTTCAGGTTAGGAGGAATTCAGTAATTATGGGCATATTCGTATTTCTTTGGAAAATGTAGATCAGTTGTTGAAAGGATCTATATTCATATGTAACTACACAACATAGTTAGTGATATAAAAGGTTATTCGACTTTAAAAGGAAAATACAACGGTCGTTTTCCACATAAAATATTCGAATATTTAGCGTTTAATAAATCTATAAATTCGATTAATTTTTTTTTTTTCAGATTCATAGTTAGTGTAGTTGATACGTAAATAAGGTGGTTTGAAAAAATCCACTACTTTTACTTAGCCCACAGCGTTTACCGGCTTACCTCGCGAGCGTTAACATCTAAAATACACCTTTTCATTCATAATTCTACCCCAAAAATACCTTTAAAGAATTAGACTATATATCAGATAAAGCGTTACGGTAACGCTTAGATGTGACGTAACACTAAATGTGAAATAGGTCGACGATGAGAAGTTACAACTCTGGAGTCTGTAAGATCGAGCTTAATTCTCTCCCCCTTCCCCTCACTCTAACGTCTCTACCTAAAGGGGTGAGAAAGCAAACCCGAGCTTTTTCTCGTGCTCCGAACTGCATGCAACTCGGGCGCCGCCTCGTCGGTTTCTTATACAGACCGCACAAAAGCTTGAACCAGGCCTAGGGAAGGCACCCTTACGTCGGTACATGTAGAACAAGCTTAGAGCTTACATAGTCGTTGCCCCGTCAGATGGTTCTGCAGTATCTCACATGGAACGTAATCCCATTTATTCAAATTCCCTGTCAGACCAACCACGTCTAAAAAGAGGCAACATGTAGAGAAAAAGACTTCTACAGTTATTTCAAATTGACGGTAATGTTCTACGGAATTTCCCATGTAAAACTTTTACGGCGAGTAGAAATAAACTAAAAACAACTAAAAAAAGAAGAGCTGAATTATTTGCTATTTAACCATTCCCCTACTAATTACAGGATCAACCATAAGCATTATTACGAACAAAACATATATATTTATTGTAGTATTTAGTCACCAAAATTTACTCAAACACAATAGATAATAACGAATTTTATAAGTAGAGTTAACTGCCGAATGAATAAAAAAAAAGAAAGAATCTGTATAAACTTGAAGTCGCTTTACCATAATATTTCTGAAATTTAAAAATTGATTTAGGGATTTATGTCTGTTTGAGAATCGTCATTTGCTGCTCAGAATAATGAGCTGTTATTTTTTTTCTTTGCCCAAGGGACTCGAAACTCTGTGATCTTTTAAAAAAGAAATTACTTAGACATCACATTAAACGGAATGAAATACAAGTTCAAAGAGCGCGCAACAACCAAAGGTCTAAATGAATAGAAGCTGAAAGAGCCGGCGGTAGCATGTTTACGAATTCAAGGCGCCTTAGTGAACCAACAGAAATTTTCTATTTACAATTACACATTTCCAAGATATATTTTTAGTGATTTTATACTTAGTGACAAAAAAAAAGTGTTTCAAAGTAAACACGACTTGATTGAAAGATAGGTTACGAAATTGAACTTACATATTGTTTTGATAGCTTTCGTTGTATTTTGGGTTATTTTCTGTGAAATTTTGGTAATTTTTCTAACTATACAAGTCT